ATATATATATATATATATATATATATATATATATATATATATATATATATATACATATCGAGCTCACAGGCCTGGAGGCACTTCGTCATCATCAGAAGCCACTTCAACAACACCCGAAGGACTTGCCTCATCCTTAGAGTCCGATTCAGCGTCTGCAGCGTTGGCCATCTCTTGAGTAATGCGCGAAGTGTTTATAGCGCTGATATCGAGCTCGGGGTACGTATTCCGGATCATCCACTAGCTTAGTTTAAAGCCCCTTCTGTACGAGCCCACCATCAGGTCGTCAAAGCGCGACGAGGCGATGTATTCATCAACGGCCTTCTTCTTGGCATCCTCAGTGCCTTGAGAAAAGATCTGTGTCCTCTCCCTAATGTCCTCGTGAAGGTATTCAACCTTATGCTGCAAATCCAGCCTTAGGTTTGCCATATTCTTCACCACAACTCCCATGGCCACGGTATTTCTCTGAGACCTCGCCAGCCTGGCCTGAGCAGCGCGAGAAGCCGCCTCGGCAGCACGGGAAGCCTCTTCGGCAGCTCGCGCCTGCCTCGAGCTTCTTTCCACTTGGGCCGCCAAGGCATGGATAGAAGAATTCACCTACCAAAAGGAAAGATAACAAATGATCAAAAGAACGATAGAATGAAAGATAAAAGAAAAGAGCCTGACAAGAAAATCGTTGACTTACCACCATGGCATGAGTGACAGCACGACAAGCCACCTGGTTCAGAGGGAGCTCGGTCCATGTCACGACCTGTTCAGGATAAATGGCCTCCTTACTCTTCTGAAGAGCATGGTTCGGCGACAACACGCTCCTGAACTCGCCTTGGTATCCCGAGCCTAAAGGCCCAGCTCGGGTATAAGCGGACTCAGAGTAAGCGGGAGCCCCCGTGTAAGTAGCCTCGGCATAAGGGGCCCCTGCCGCTTCTTGTACTGGAGGGGCCATCTCGGGCTCCCTGGGCGGATCCACTGACGGGTAGTCTGGTACCTCGGGCTCCGCATCTCGGGGCAGCTCGGCACAAGTTCGGTTGGCGACTCGCTTCCTCCTCTTTATGGCGCGAAACAGATTCCCACCACGAGTCTTCTCTGAGTCAATCACACCTGAAAAACAGCTCGGCATCAGGAAAACGAAAGAACAATGCAAAACAAAAGGTAAGCCTCTAAGTAAGGAACATACCCGAACTCAGACCGGCCTTGATGAGCTTGGCCTCCGTCAGATAATGGTGGCATTTTAGCCCAAGCCGTGCCCATTCCCGGAGGCCCTTCGCCGTCTCCTTATCAAGTGTAACACCGGCATCAGGGGCAGCCATCCCCCACCCGGTTTGGAATGGCCACCCCAATGCTCTTCGCACCCCGAAGTAGTCCCGTTTCCACGCCGGGACCTTGTTGGAAGATCGTGTAAAAGCTTAAAACCCGGGCGAGGAGACAGGTAATACTCCCGCCTACGCCCGGGAAGGGGACCCGCTTGCTTCTTAAGCATCAGAATGGAAGAAAAAATCTCCAAGTCTAAGGGCAAGATCTGTTCGCAAAATAGGGAGATTGTCCCCACCAAGTTATGAATAGAATTCGGGTGAAGCTGGCTGACAGTAACGCCGAAGTGGTTCATGACCTCGACTATAAGGGGGTGGAAAGGCAGGCGCAACCTAGCAGGGAGCTGCTCCCGGAATATCACGATCTCATCAGGACCGTGTTCCCAAGAAAAACTGCCCGAGGGTATAAAATAGGTGTACTCCCTAGGCAAGTTAAACTTGGTAATAAGGGAGTGAAGCCCCTCAGGCGTCATGGTCGAAGGCCCAAACTTGTCTAACGTTCGACCTCGGCGGTTGGAGGATGCCAAACTACCCGAGGCGACTCGACCCATGGGTTCGAACTCTTCCTCGAGCTCTACCTCCGGTTCGCTAGGACTGTCGGGGGATGCAACTCGGTTCGTAGAACCTGCATCTGACCCCCTTGAAGAACTGTCTGAGCTATCCGGGCTAGACATCGGGAGGAGAAGATGGAATCCAGGAAAGTATTCACCCGGAAAAAGGCTTGAACGGACTATGGGAACTTGAACGCGAGCTAAAAGCTTGAATGCGAGCTAAAGGCTTGGACGCGAGCTGAAACTTGGACGCGAGCTCAAGAAGCAAAACGCAGAAGTGACAAAGCGACTGGGGTCCCCCACTATTTATACCCACAGTAACCAAAAATCAATGGTTCTGATCAAAGCAGATCCGACGGCCCGCAGTCACGCTGACCGCACGTTTCCTGAAACCGAGACGTGACTGGACGCACGTCTCCTGAGACCGAGACGTGACTGGCCGCACGTCTTTTGAAACTGAAAGAGCGCCAGCACATGTTGCCTCACATTTAAGGCGGCAGCGGCGCGTTTTTTCAAATTTGAAAAGATGCTTGCTGTCACGTCTCCCAGCAGCGCGCTTGAGAAATCCAAAAAGATCCTAACGAATGCGCACTTCGCGCTATCAGTCAAAGCCAGTTCGAAGTACGGGACTAATCCACCCGCCACCTCGCGAACTCCTCGCGCCATGGCAAGTCCCTTTGCGCGAGGAGTGGGGGGCAATGGATGAAGGAAGATTTTGCCCGACCTCGTAACCACTCAACACGTGGCAAAGGCAACAACTCGGCACAACAGCTCGCCCAAGGTGCGAGCTCCGAAAGGAGGAACCAGCAGTCCGAACTCCCTACAAGGAGCCCGAACTCCTCGTAAGGAGCCCGAACTCTCCCTTAGACCCCGAGCCTTACCAACATAAAGGGCAACAACCCGAACTGGCCTGCCCCATGGCAGTTCGGGCCACACCTCTATCCGAACTCAAGACTTAACCTCGCACACCACTCCAGCACTTCGCCTTCAGGACGCCGAACTAAACAAACCGCATCGTACCTGACACCGAAGGAGTCCGTATCAGGGGCGGCGCACCTGACTGACTTGGGATCTGACGCTTGACAGCTACACTTCAACAACCACCTACCACCGCCACCTGCCATCGCCATCTCCCGTTACATAGACGGCTCCAACAAAGAGAGCAGTGGCGGTTCTGCCCTAGCAGAGGTGATGACACCCAAACTGGTAAAAGCACAGAAGTAATCATACCCGACCTGACAGAAGCTTAGGAGTGAGTGCGCGAAGTGGTTATAAAAGGCTCTCTACCCCCCAAGAACAAGGTTTTTGAACTTTGCACCATCTGGTTTTATCTTGCCTTTGAGGAAATACTAACTTGAGTTTCGGAGCATACTCACTGGGTTCTTCCCCGGAGGTTACTCTCTTTCCCCTTTGTTTCAGGCACCTTCTGCTCCAACCCGAGGAAAGATCTTTGACAGATAGGACCCGCCGGATTGCGCACCATCAGTTTGGTTGTTCGATTTTTTTTTATTTTATAATGTATAATATAAATATTATAAATATAATATTATATATACATATATATTGGCCGGTTTGATTAATTATAATTTTTTAATAATTTAATTAAATCAAAGGGAAAAACAATAAACCAAAACCAAATTATATTAACTAAAATTTTCAGTTAAAGTTATCAGTTTTGATTCACTTTTTTCTTTCAAGTTTTTCTCTGTGTGAGAGCTGCAAACTTGTATGATAGAAGGCTTAGTGAGCAAATAATCGCGCGTATCTTATGTCGTTGGGGTTAGTGCCCTTATATAACTGAGCTGTTGTAGGCCTTATCGAGCATGTCTGATCTGGATGGGATAAGGATAAGGCTTGAAGACGTGCGGTATGATCCCAAAGAGCTCAGAAATAATTGGCTAGTTTCTAAAAGTTGGCTATGTATCGCCTCGACAAGTTGGGCCATCATGAGCTGCTCGAACCTCAGTCTTTTCCGAAATGCCCGAGTTACCTCAGCTGACCTGACTCATTGACGTAGCTGAGAATACCCAATCATCATCCAATCAACAGATCACTTCTACGTATCCGGATGTGGATGTTGATAGGTTATGCCAAATTACCCCACATCATCAAATCTTTCAAATATTATACTCGAACCATTTTTATATATACATATTTCAATTTTTCCACATTAAATAATTCAATTCCGGAAGTGGACTAAGGGTGGTTGTGGTCCATCTAAGCCGGATGAAAGTTGTCCAGCTGCATGTTCAGGATCAAGCACGTTGGCTCCTTACACGGAGTAGTGGCGTTGTGGAATTAAGTTCATTCTTTACGTGATAAGCAAGGAAGCGGCAGCAGTTAATCTAAAATTAAAGATGAATAAAAATGGCCCATAACGAATTCTGGAAGCGTGGAACATGTCGGCCGTCTGTACAATGTAGTTATAATGATCACACAGACACAGATTCACAGAGTTCCCCTTTTTCCTTTACTTCTTCCTCCCCTACGGTACACACTTAGGTTTCCATTATTTTCTCCTACAGTCTGACTTGATATGTTCATGTTGTATTGGGTTTCTTCCGAACTTTATTTCTGCTCGGTTTTAACCATTTCATAACCACTGTTGATGTTAAAATTGAGGGAGGGGGGGGGGGAAGATAAAAATTTATTATTCGGATTCGGATTCGGAGCGCTCAACTTCCTACACCGCCCATTTCTCTTGCAAGGATGAGAATTCTTCCCTTATTATAAAAATAGAACCGCCGATCATGAGATCGCTACCAGAGACAGAGGAGAGGTTGAAAGTGTAACAACGACGGTGGGCATTAATCATTTCTGTAGTCAAATTTTTTTTTTTTTTTTCTAATAATATGAGTGGAGCAGATCAGAAAGTCTAGTCTGGTGAGCTGTTTGTGTAATGCGAGCAGTTCGTTCAGTTTTCTTCCCCTCCTTTTTGCTTTTGTAATACTCTCTCATCACATGGTCTTCCAGATCATTAGTCTCAGCTCTTAACCTATTGTTTGTTTCTTGTAAATCCCTTATTGATTCGGTCACCAAACATTAAAACCAGAGTAGTAGGTACCATTCTCCTCCTCTTTCCCTCTTTTTCTTCCCCGGGCTTGAAGTAGAGATGGTGTTTCGGTTTCAGTTCGGGAAAGCATGAGTTCCAGAAGCATTAGGCTCCATTTGCGGTGGAGCCTTACTGCACTTGTTCTCCTTCTTCTGGCTGTTCGATCCCTTGGGCTAAACGCAGATGGAGTTCTCTTGCTTTCTTTCAAGTACTCTGTTCTCAGCGATCCTTTATCTGCTTTACAGAGTTGGAATTACGAAGACCAAGCGCCGTGCTCATGGAACGGGATTACGTGTACCAGATTCGCAATGCCCGGCACCGGCGATACGTTACGCGTTACCAGCTTGGCTCTCCCAAATTGTCAGCTACTGGGTACGACTCCACCCGAGCTGGGAATGCTTGAACACCTCCAATATCTCGATCTTTCGAATAATTTACTCAATGGATCCCTCCCCGCCTCGCTGTTCAATGCCTCTGAGCTCCGGACACTCTCTCTTTCCAACAACGTAATTTCAGGCGCATTGCCGGAGACAATCGGAGGGCTGAAGAACCTTGAGTTTCTTAACCTTTCTGCTAATGCCTTGGCGGGAAAGATTCCTCAGAACCTCACTGCTCTTCGAAATCTTACTGTCGTTTCCTTGAGCAACAATTACTTCTCTGGCGGTGTTCCAAGTGTGTTCGAAGCCGTTCAAGTTCTAGATCTGTCTTCCAATCTGATTAACGGGTCGTTTCCATCAGATTTCGGTGGAGTTAGCCTCCGTTACTTGAACCTCTCGTACAATAGGCTCGTCGGAAGGATTCCACCGGAATTTGGGAAGCAAATCCCGGGGAATGTCACTCTTGACCTCTCGTTCAATAATCTCACAGGAGAAATCCCGGAAAACGTAGCTTTTCTCAATCAGAAAACGGAATCGTTCGCTGGCAACCCGGATCTATGCGGGAAGCCACTGAAGAACCTGTGTGCCGTGACTTCCGTTCTTTCTGCTCCGTCCAATGTCTCTGAAATTACTTCTCCTCCTGCATTTGCAGCTATTCCGAACACTATAGACTCGACACCTGTAGCTGGTTCATCTGGAACGTTGAATGGGACTCAACAGGAAAGGGAGAGGGGTCTCAGACCAGGAACAATTGCAGGCATCATCTTTGGGGATTTGGCTGGTATCGGAGTTCTGGCTATGATATTCTTTTATGTTTACCGAATAAGGAAGAGAAGGAAGAAGGTGGTCAGTAGTACAGGAAGCGCAGAGAAGAAAGACGAAATGGACGGGAAAGATATCTGGCCTTTGTCATCAACGGAACCGAAAGGGCCGGCGTGCTGGTGCCTGGGAAAGAAAAATGACGACGGCGAAGAGACGTCCGAGACGACGAGCACTGATAGTGACGAAGACGAAGAGGAAAAGGTGGGTGATGAACAGAAAAAAAAGCAACAAGAACAGAAGGGAGGGTCTCTTGTAACTGTAGACGGAGAAACGGAGTTGGAGCTGGAGACTCTGCTGAAAGCATCGGCTTATATATTGGGAGCGACTAGTGCGAGCATAGTATACAAGGCCGTGCTGGAGGACGGGACGACGCTGGCGGTACGAAGGATCGGTGAGAGTGGTATAGAGAGATACAGAGATTTCGAGAATCAGGTCAAGCTTATAGCTAAATTGCGCCATCCCAATCTGGTGCGCATACGAGGGTTCTACTGGGGTTCCGAGGAGAAACTCGTCATCTACGATTACGTCCCTTGTGGCAGCCTCGCCAACTTCAGTTACAGTAAGTTCTTTTTCTCTCTCCTCTCCTCGTTGTCTGATTGTTTCTCTCAGTCTGTTTGGTGCATAGTAGCAAAAACTAGTAAAGTTGTACTAAAATGCACGGTAATGCTGGTTTCACTGTGTAAAGGCGCGAGAAGTTATTCTCAATGCCCGGAAAGTCAACTGTCCGTGGTAGGCCGTTGGCCAGGCTTTGCAAAGCCCTCTGTGCTGCGGCTAACGATAGCGAAAACCCTCTATCCAATATTATCCATTACATATCAAAACGAAACGCTACGCTTTCCCTTTCCGTTTTTAGGAAAAGTTTGAAAATGAAAAGCCATGCCGCCCATTACAAGATAATCTGGGCTGATTGGTAATCTGTTCTGTTTTCATTGGAAACGCATTGCTCTTTCTCCTGGTCCTGGTCTGGACCGCCATACCGGTACCGGCCGTATCGTGCGTTTCATTTCTAGATCAGCTGATCCGTTGCTACCGGCGCAAGTTAAATAAATAATTAGTAATAAAATAAGGAATGTATCCCGGCCAATCCCATAATTGATAATTCTACTACCTTCATCCATGCATGCAGAGAAAACAGGGTCATCGCCATGCCAACTACCCTGGGAAGTGCGACTCAAGATAGCAAGAGGAGTGGCACGGGGGCTAGCGTATCTGCACGACAAGAAACACGTGCACGGAAATCTCAAACCAAGCAACATCCTGCTAGGTCACGACATGGAGCCGAGAGTAGGAGATTTCGGACTAGAGAGGTTGGTTTGGGGCGGGGAAAGCAGCTACAAAGCCAGCGGTTCGTTCCGGCATTTCGGAAGCAAGAGGTCCACCCTTTCTCGGGAGAGTTTGCAAGATCTGCCAGCAGGAGTGAGCCCCAGCCCCAGCCCTAGCCCCAGTCCTTGCGCCAGTTCTTTGGGGTGCCCATCTCCCTATCAGGCACCCGAGGCGCTCAAGAACCTCAAGCCCAACCCCAAGTGGGACGTCTATTCGTACGGAGTGCTGCTGCTGGAGCTCCTGACGGGGAAGATTTTCTCGGATAAGGATATGTGCCAGTGGAACATCGTGGAAGAGAAGAACAGGGTGTTGAGAATGGCTGACGTGGCTATTCGAGCTGAACTGGAAGGCAAGGAGGACGCCTTGATGGCATGCTTTAAGTTAGGATTGAGTTGCACATCCATTGTCCCACAAAAAAGACCCTCCATGAAAGAAGTGGTTCAATCCCTTGAGAAAATACCATCCACCGCCCGTTACTATGACCGATGATGATGATCCACGGAGGCCCACGAAAGATACATGGCATGGCGACCAATCCATATAAAAGTTAAAATTAGATAGTGGGTGGAGGGGCCGAAATGGTGTGTGTGTGTGTGGTGAGAGAAAGTGTTGTATCTTGTAGTTGTATGTATGTATGATTGACTAATTGATTGTTAATTAAATGCAAGTGAGATACCTTAGATGGTGATTGATGATGGTTGGATTTTTGTTCGATTATCCGAGCCATACTTAATACACACTAGACTACTAGAGAAAGAGATTGGGGAGTGTTTGTGCGGCTATAATTTGGTCCCACTAACTTCGGATTTGGATTTAGGTATAAGCCCAGCCCAGCCCTGCCCTAGATATGTCGTCATTGCTTAAAGAGTTAAATCTAATTTGTTTTTTTTTTTTTCTTTGGGTGCATGGTTTTCTATGAGTAAGCTAATGTATTGTGATATGTTGACATGTTCTTTTGGTGAAGCTTGTGCAATAAATTCTCCTAATTTATGGTAATAACAGGTACAATAAATAAGGAACTATTAAAGTACTCTGAATGGAAATAAAAAAATAATAACAAACAATTAAAGAAAAACAGATACAAAATTAAAGGTGGTGTTTGGTCCATCTTCCTTGCCATTGCCATAGTACAAATATATACGGATGTGCGTACCCTCTTGGCTCTTGTTAAGTTCTTTCACCAACCAGTACTATATAAGCAAGAAACAGAGCTTCACGACAAGGGAGAGAACAGTTAAAACCCAAACGGACGGAGAGGCTACCTGCTCAGTTCCAAGTTCCAACTCAAAATCAACGTTATACGTAAATACCCAAAAAAAAAAAAAAAAACCTTGTACATAAAATCTTCATCGTTAATGCAGTATCTAGGCTCTAGCTTCATCTTAATCAAATGAGTGACAATAAAGAAAACAAAGTGTTTTGAGTGTTTGGGCGTAATTAATGAAAGCAAAATTCTTATTGTGTCGTTACCAGAAAAGTTAAAAAGGCATCTCTTGGCATGGGTCTCAGTTGAAAGAAGAAAGCCATAAAGCAGGCAAATGCAAATCTAAGGCATATCAGGATCCAAAGTTGTCTTAATAAGAGCTAGTGCAGCTTAAAGAAAAAAGTGGACGGTGAATGCTCTGCAACGAAATCATACCATCACAAGTGTTTACGTTTGCGGAGTTCAAGAACCTCTTGGCAATTTGCATAGAGTGGCATCTCCAAAGGCAGTCTAGTATTACTAGAGCTCAGTGTTGAGTGAACAAAAAAGCTTTCAGGTACCAAATCTGATTCTGAGTTGACATGAGATTTGGGTGTGGGTATACGATTTATTAGTCACGTACCATCTATATATCTATTTTTGAAGTGAGGACCGAGGAAGACTCCCTTATTAGCCCAACCCAGAAAAGGTACAACGCTTGCACCGATAAAAACGCACTCATGTTTTTAACTTTGGGGTTTTTATCATTACAATCAGTTATTTCGTTGCCTTTTTGCTCACTTTGTTAAAGCGGAATGTGCCTAGACTAGTCCCCAAATCAACCCCAAACGTAAAAAAGTACCATCATTTGTTGTTCTTTCCCTCAAAAGAAAAACAAATTTGGCATTGATCACCAAAATTCAGTTAAATTAACCAAGGGCCTGTTCTTTGCACTCGAGTCAGAGATCTCCTCCTGATCAGCATTCATCTGTACCGGTTTCATCTATAATTCGGGTAGACCCGTTAATAGTCGAAATAATTCCAGACTCCAGACCCGTTAAAGGCTATAATTTAATTTTTTTTCCTCCAGACAAACAGTGTAATCAATCTTAATACCCGATTGGTAGCAATTATTTGGCAGGTTGGGCCTGGGAGACATAAGTCAAACATGAACCCAACACAGCATCAGTTTGATATGATAGCGTCTGGGAATCCATGGGACCTGGTCCTTTACGTGACGGACAGACATCAGGAGGCTACATCGGAACGGAACGAAGAACGATCATGACGTAATTCTGCAACACCCAACAGGATTGACAGCTAAACCACCGTCTCCCTGTTTTTATCCTTCTAGTATTCTCAATAATCGGGTTAGTCGGTCATCAGAGTTGGTGGGCATGGAGTGATAGAGTGGTTCACCGTCCGTGCAAGGAAGGCCCACTAACCCTACCAGACCAGAATAGAGAGCCTGCAATTCCCCCTTCACATTGTCTCTGCTCTGCGACTGCGAGTGAATACTCTCGAACTTTATACATAGCAAATGGGCTCAAAATGATATGTCATGAACCAGCACAAAAAACAAGGGCCCATGAACGCTCATCTTCGTCTCTTTGCATTAAAGATCAGAGTTGAATTCCCCTTAAAACCAGATATACTAGCCCTCTGGAAGCAATTTATCTAATGCTGCCGTTTCTACACGAATGTTACACTCGAGAATTTCAGATTCTTTTTGCCCAACTTCAGTGCTTTTAAAGTCTTGTCAAGTGGTGGAACCATTTTTCCCTCCAGCTCCAGGACAATAGTTCAGCACAACTGGCCAATTCGTGATGTCATAATTATGAAAACTTTCAAATATAAAAAATGGGTACCCATTTTACGGATCAGCGGACGGTGGACCAACCATATGGATCTGCAGGACATTGATCAAGACTTCTACGGTTTCTGTAATATTACAGGGTAGAGGCTGACATGAATCAGGATTTGGGTCCAGTTCATTAATTAATCCAACTAAACGGGTTAATGAGTGGTTGGAAATTGAAAACAGTACCAACTTTTTTTATATAAATTTGAGGGGGTGATTAGTTACTCCCTTAAGTTTTTAAACTCAACAGCGGAGCCAAATTCAATGCATTAATTGAGTTGGATTTTCATTTTCCAACCTAGCCAAGCATAACAGACCTCAATTCTTGGTTCAGCATTTGTTTAAGAGACTTGGGTACAAATTAACAGATACAGCCCAATACCTAATAAATTAAGTTTACAATTGTTTTAAATTCTACCCACAATTCAACAACTGAAATCCAACTTGTTGGTAGACGATATTATACATGAAAAATATGAAGACATGCTGGATTTGGGTTAGGTTGGGTTGCCTGAAGCCTCAATCCAACCCAATCTAACGTCTTCAGGCTTAACATGGCCCAAGTTGCAGACCCAGAAACGTGATGTTTATTTGGGGTTGCATACCTGCTGCATATGAGCGGGAGAGAATCTGCTAGTAACAGGTGGTACAAACCTGTCTTATGTACCTACTCCATTTAAGCATAACAAGGCAAATCCCTCCAATTATGCAATGTTTATGTTCTGCCATAAATGTGTTTGCTAAGGAGCAGGACCTGTGGGTTGTACTGTTTGGCGTTTAAAGCGTTAATACCTTTTTTAATGTCAAAATAAGACAAATTAGAAAAGTGGTTTGCTTTTTTTTTTTCCTATTTTCCACTGTACCATGTCATAATTATGTTTTTGATAATTGTCACCGTTGTGTATGGCATTTACGCACCAACAATCGCAAGAGACATGGTTTTCGCCTGTTAATGCTTAAATACTGACGTGGAAAGTTACTTGAATGCAACGGCTAATAAATGGATTTTTGTCTGTTGCTCCTTCATAGAAAGTTCTGTGAAATAGGTACATAAACTTTTTTATCGATGGGGCAGCTAAGGGTTGTCCCGGAGTGGCAGCTGCCGGAGGCATATTTCGAGGCAACGATGGTTGTTGGCAAGACGGTTTCAGCCCTCATATTGGGATTGCTTAATTGGATTAATTGTTGGGCTATCTATCAAAGGGCCCAACAAAGTTCAGCAATAATGGGTGTACTCAATTGTTGGGAATCCAGATCTATTCATCATAACACAAGCCATGTTTCGGACTAACGTTAAGAATATCTAGCCAATAATGTATTATAATTAATAGATCTGGATCCCTCAATTGCTAATGGTGGTGGAATCTGATTCCTTGTCCAATATATAGAGAGGTTTTAAGTCGTGGAAAATAGAAATGTCCTAACAGTGGATCAATTGTTTCAAGCAACACTGGACGTGGGGTCTGCTGATAACTTAGCTAATAGAGAGGGAGTGGGATTTGATCAATCTCAAGATGTCAGACAATCCCTTAATGGAGTAATCCGCTATGTTTTAATAATAAAAGGAAAGAAATGAAGAAAAATTCTATAGGGCAAATTTCTTCAATTATCCTTAAGATTTAAGAATTTGACTAATTATACTCCTATTATTTCTGATAATTGTCAACCGTTTATACATGATGTCGGGTTTGATTTAATTTTAAATTATATCTAAAATACCCTTTATTATAACAAAGACCAACAGAAAAGAAGTAAATATCACACCGGAGGGACACCATGTCCTCAGACGCGGTCATCGCACGATCACCGGAGGGCCTCCCGGCCATCTGGGTCAAGAGCTACTTCTCCCGGTCATCACACGATTGCAAGATCTCTCTCTCTCCAAAGAGACAAACCTTCGAAAATCTCCGTTTTTCAGAACACCGTCTCTCTCCCTATCGTTGAAACACCGGCAATAGCACACTCGCTCGTTCTCTCACTCCCTACATCCGCTCTCCCCTGTTCCATTGTCCACTGGCACCGCTGCTGGTATACACAACCGTCCACCAGCGGTAGTTCTTAACAAACTCACCTGCTACCCTGAGTGCAAGTTCTGCCGAGGATCATGATAATGGTGGTCGTCGTTCTTGTCACCAACACTCACCCAGACTAGGACAGCGAGCTTCTTCGCAGATGGTGTGGAGCTTTAATTCCCTGATCTTTAAGCTCTTGTTCAACGGAAGACACCGATGGATATTCGTCGGATATCACTCAGACACCGGTGCTGCTGCAATAGCGGGTCCCGAAATTGGCTGCACAACAGGCTGAGTAAATTTTACTGCGACGGTTGTTGAGGCACAGCCTGAGCTTGCTCGGCCTGCAACGGGCTGGAGGGGGTCCGTTGCTGTAGTGACCAACAAGTGTTCGGCCTACTCGGCCTCCAATGCTAAGTTATATATTGACTCATGTTGGAGTCATACAGTTAATCGCAAATGTTGCACAAACACTTGTGGATGTTCTACACAGAATTCTGTTTTGTTTGTTAAACTAACCAGATTTCAATTGGTGGAGAGAGGAGATCATCGAAGAGATAATCAGTGGAGGGAAACCGCTTCTGTGCCGCCGCTGGTTCAAATGGAGAAGAACTGCCGCTGGTTTTATTCTCGCTATCC